CCTCTTCTACTTTCTGTTTTCTAAGAGTGCTTTCCCTACACTATGGAATTTTGGTTAACGCTTTGGGCTTCCCCAGTGAAGTTTCCCTCCCAGTAACCCTGTGGCTTGTCCTCCATGTGTGACCTTGCTAGCATAAACAGCATGCCTTATTTCTCCTATATGCTCTTCCTCCAGGCTGATGTTTGCCTGACCTGGGGATTTTGTTTCAAATTCTAATAAAATTGCTCCCTGGCTTCTGTTTGAGTACATTCTTAAATTCTTTTATTATTGACAATAAAAACCCTAATAGGAGAGCTGGATTTCCCATGTCAAAAATAAAATGTTTTTAGTAATGTAGAATAAGCATTTACAAGAAAGAATAAACATCAGAAAAGTGTGAATTGAAAGACAGTAGCATTCTGGCAATATTAATTTTGTTAGCACTGTACTGATACATTTGGAGCTAAACAGAGCTAGATCTCACATGAACCATATTAATAAATGATAAGAAAACCTGGACCATATTTCAGTATTGAAATTTTATTATGTTTGTAAAAATCATAGGTATGGAAACTGCCATATGAAAAAATTCTTTCAGATATGATCAAATAAAACTAAGTTATTAAAACATGTGGATAGAATGGGAAGAAAATTTTTTTAACAAATTAAAATTTTCCATATTTATACAAACAGTGTATCCATAACAAAAAGGCACTAGGGAACTCATAAAAAATGGGATCATAGCACCCCTACTATTGTAATTGGAAAGATGTCCACATATAAGAATGTGTATACCTTTTGGGGATCTATATGTTTTAATGACTGCCAAAGTAAAAAAAAAATGATATTTGAAACCTGTAAGAGTCTAAATGCTCTTCAAATTTATGTTTTCATATAAAACATAAACTGCCCGTTTTACAAATATACTTGCACTTCTGTGTTTATATAATTTAGATGTTTTTAAGATAAAAAATCTCCATAAAAATATAAAGTAATATTTTAAAAAGATAGAAGATCATACAAAAAATACCAAAAGATAAACAGATGCCTCACAAAAGCAGATGTCAAATAGTCAATAACTATATACAAAGAGAGTAAACAGGATATTTAAAATTAAAATGATCCCAGGCACCAGGTTTAGACCCAGGGAATTTGGAAACTGATAAAACATTTTGAATGTGTTTGGTATCATGTAGTAAAGCTAATGCTGTACACTGTGACACAACAATTATCACTCCACATATATAACTATTACAACTACAGTGCATATCAAAAAGATGAGTAAAAATAATGTTCATAAAGACATCAATGACAATTGGAAACTGCAAAATGTCCACCAAACACAGAATGTGAGAATAGGTTATAGAAAACTAAAAGAGTAAAAAGTTATATGTTCTTGAAAATAAGGGTAGTACTCTATGCACAGTATAAGTGAGCACTGGGAATAGTGTATTGAGTTACAGAAAGCAGACATGAGTAATGCATTTTATATGAATCTACATAAAATACAAAAGGAAATACACCTAAGCTATGATTTTCAAAGTCAGAATGGTGATTAACCTTGTCCAAGGTGTGGTATTGTGTTTAATTTTTATCTTAGAAATAGTAATATCGATGTGTTCACATAAAAATTTATCAAGCCATACATTTATGATTTGAGAAGGAATCTTGTCTTCAATAAAATATTCACATTAAAATGTCATTACCACAAGTTCCCAGATAAGAATTTTTACCTAGGAGTGACCTAAAAATATGACTGAGAAGAACTGCATTAAAAAAAAAAAAACTTACTTGAAATAAGTTTCAAAAAAAAAACTTACATAAAAAATGCTTTAGTCTGCTTTGTGTTGCTAAGGCAGAATCTATACATAGAGTGAATATTTGCAAACAATGGGAATTTATTCTTCACAGTTCTGGAGACTGGAAATTTCAAAATCAAAGTATGTCCAAGTTCAGCTGGCTTGTGTGGCTATGACCTCTCAGGAAGCCCTTCCATGTTCATGGATTGGCAGAATCGGCTTTCTAAAAGCTCCTGTATTGGGAAAGCAATGAATAGGCTCAAAATGCAATTCATATTTTAACAAATCCAATGAAATTCGTCTCAGAACTAGAAAAACAATCCTAAAATTCATGTGGAACTACAAAATACCCTGAGTAGCCAAATTGATAGTGGGTAAACACATTTTCTGGAAAATAGACTGAACTGGAAATCTTTATGATAAGTAAAACAAGACAGACCCTGTAGCAGGGTCCTTGCTGTTGTTCCCTTTGGGGGTGGGGGCCAAGTAGGCACAGAGTCAAACCACACAGACTCCAGATAAACAACAAGTTCAGTTTATTCCGAAAGAGGCAAGCCTTATGTATCCTCCATCCCACTTTGGGCGGAGGTGTGATGAATATGCATCAGCTGGTGTGACATGCTGCCTCTCATTGGTCCAGGTCATCTCCAGATCATGTTTCAGCTGCTGTTGCTAAGACCCTTAGGCAGACCCAGGCTGGTTCTCAGAAAGTATCTTTTTTACTTGTTTGGGCCTTCTGGCCCTCAAGCTCATTAGGGATGAGTCATCCCACATATCCACCCCTTTTTAATATTTTATAGGACATGCTCAGTGGGAGCTAGGGTGCATTGCCCTAACCTTGTTGACCCCACCTCAGGAGAGCTCAGCATAATGGACTGTGCCTGTCTTAGATTGGCTTGCCAAACAAGCTCAAATCCATCATTGACTACCAGCCCTGGAAGAGCATCAATCCTGGAGAGCTGTCTGGGTGGTGGGCTTTAGGTAGTAGCCTTCAGTGAGCCATGCAGGCATTATCTCTCTAAGAGTACTTTGATCTAGGTGTCTGAGAGCCAATAAAACTTGTAGGATCGCCTTTGAGGCCGCTTTCTGTTGGTGAACCTGTTGCAGAAGATATTTGAACAAGAGAAGGATTAGTGAAAATTTTCAATCTCAAGGACATGGATGGGACCCCAGTCATTTTTATCGTGCCAATCGAAGTCCTTCTTGTGATGCATTAGCGACCTTGTAGGGGGTGAGGCAATTGCTTAATATCTAGGGTCGCATGCCAGTGATGACATGACCTTCACTAATGCCACTGTAGCAGGGCAAATCATACATTACCCTTCTGAACCTTCTTCTTTGTCCAAAGTCTCTTGGTCTGTTGCCGGATGCAACATCTTTGGAGGGTATCCATATTGGTGTGGTGGTATTCTGGGGGAAAATGCAAGCATATCCTCACTCCTGGGTTAATAGGGGAGCAGAGTATTGTCACTGAAGGGTAATGGGATCCCTTCAATGCACCAAGAGCAATGGTGTCTCCCACGGCAAATAAATAAGTATGTTGTCCAATTTGGTCTTGTGTGTCCGGGTTAACATATGGTCCTCTGCCTGTGAGCATCTCAAGAGAAATAGCGATGTTGTACTGTATATTAAAACGAGACTGAGCCTCAGCCTGGTCATCATAGGCAGCTCGCCAATTAAGGAAGACTGCAGGCTCCAACACAGCCTTCATCAAATGGTGCCAGTCATAATAAGTCTGTAAATGCATTACCCATTGCCGTAGGACTTGCTCAAAGTACGGTGAGTCAGGACCTGATTCATTAGCAGCCTTAGGGACCAAAGGCAGGTCTGCAAGAGGAGTAGGTATCCATGGCTGGTTGGCCGAATTGGGGCCCACATTAACTGGAAATGCCATGGTGGGCATGTGCGGCACCATAGGTAGAACAGGCTGAGAGGTATGCGGAGCAGCTGGCTCGGCAAGCAGACATCCAGTCAAATCACTCTGTGGATACTGCAGTAAAGGGGTAGCCACTTGAGGCATGGGGGAAGCAGAGAGAAGGGCTGCCGGTATAGGCTTAGATGCTGCTGCAAGTATTTTCTCTCTCTTTCCATCCCTTTCCTTCACTTTACGTCTATTCTCGTGCCTCTCCTTGCCAGCAGAGGCAGAGGAAATAACAGTCATGGATTGAATGAAGGCAATAGATAAGTTAGTGTTACATTGTTTCTGGTAGTGTTTATTGTGGGCCTCAGTAGAGGATGACTTTAAGCCAGCAACTATAGTCAACAAAATGGGCATAACAAACAACTGGAGAGTTACTCCTGAGGCCACTTCTTTTTTTCTGGCCAGGAACAGAATTCTTATCCAAGGATCAGGTTCCCATATGTTCTCTAAAGAGATCCATGGAGCAAGCTCCACAGCCTCCACCCAAAACCTTTCTAGTTCTTATGTTGTAGCCCAGAGCCCCTGGCTGGTTAGGAGGGACTTAAGGGCTCCAGTAGGGGCCTCTTTCTGGCGAGGGAAGAAATTTCCCATAGTGTTAGAAGGTGGGATAAACAACAGTGACTAAGGCTTTGTTTCCTGAGGGTCCAGCCCTTATAAGGAAACACTAGGCAAGCCTGAACGAAAGTATATGCCACCCTACCGTACAGACAAACTCACGAACAAGACAAACAGAAAGAAGAAAGTGGGGGTCCCAGCATTTACCTGCTGAAGGGACCAAATTTACACAACCAACGTAGAGGGGCCTACTCACCGAAATGTACCGCTCAAGGGGGCTTCTCAACCAGCGCTGCACATGAGTAAAGGGAGACAAACAGACCCTGTTCAGGTACCAAATTTCCCTTTCGGCACTAGATGTAGCAGGGTCCTTGCTGTTGTTCTTTTTGGGGGTGGGGGCCAAGTAGGCGCAGAGTCAAACCACATAGTCTCCAGGAGAATGTCCAAACAACAAGCTCAGTTTATTCAGGAAGAGGCAAGTCTTATATACCCTCTACCCCACCTTGGGGGGAGGTCTGATGAATATGCATCAGCTGGTGTGACATGCTGCCTCTCATTGGTCCAGGTCATCTCCAGATCATGTTTCAGCTGCTGTTGCTAAGACTCTTAGGCAGACCAGGGCTGGTTCTCAGAAAGTATCTTTTTTACTTGTTTGGGCCTTCTGGCTCTCATGCTCGTTAGGGATGAGTCATCCCACAAGACCCAGAATGACAAATAACCTGTTTTCTCTTTTACACTTAACCTAGATTTAAAATTGCATGTGTGTGTGTGCGCGCTGTGGGGCAACAAAAAAAATTAAGAGAGAAAAGGAAGAGATCTCCAAAAATGGGCATGGAAAGAGTAATAGAAGATCCCTGCCATGGAAGAATGGAGGACTTCTGAGGGAGACACATCTGATAAGGAAGAAGAAGGAGGGACATCTGAGGGAAAGAAGAGAAGCAGCCAAACTGGAAGGCCAGAGTTTCCCTGGAAGTGACTTTACACTAAGGTATCAGCAGTGTAGTATATTTGGACAAGGCAGTAATCTACCTGAATTTGTCCCATCTAAAACACACTGAGTGCATCCAACTCCTCTTCATTTTTGCTGGTCCTTGGCATGCCCTCAGCAATTCTGGTTTGAATGTGGCCCTTTGAAACTTAAGATGTTCCTAAAAGTAAGTATTAAGAGATGTGGCTCTTTGGGGTGATGAGAAACATCGGGTAGGGTTTTTTCCTAGGGAACAGGATTTAGGCTCCAACAAAAGAGGCTTCACACAGTATTCTGCTAGTTTGCTGGCTTGTTCTATTCTGCCTTCTAGCATACAGAGAAACAGCATCTCTCCCTTCCTTCTTTTTAGATTTTTAATATAAGCTCTCATAGCTATAAATTTGCCTCTTACAACTACCCTAACTCTATCCCAAATATTCTCATAAGTTATCCTTTATTTGTTTGTTTATAGGGGATTTTTACTTCTGCTCTGAATTCTTCAATGACCCGCTAGTTGTTCAGTCTCTAATATGTTACTTTGTCTACTTTATCTTAGTATAATTTTGTATTATTATTGCACTATGGTTTGATATGATACAAAAGATTCTTGTAATCGGTAAAATTAATTTGTAGCCTAGACTTTTGTAGAAGGTTCCATGCATAGCTTAAAGAGTGTGTATTCTATGTTTATTGGGTGGAATATTTTCTAAACAACTATGGCATCCATTTGACGTATGATACAGTTTCACTTTGAGATTTTTCTTTGTTGATTTTTAGTGTGAACCCTTTATGAAGAGATGAGTGTAGGGTATTTAAATCACCTGCTATCATTGTATCAGGATCTGTTTGATCTTTGTCCATTAGTGTTTGTTTTATGAAATTGAGAGCTGCAACACTGGGTGCATATATACTTATAATTATTATAGCTTCTTGGTGAATCATTCCTTTTACTAATATGTAGTGACTTCTTAAAAATCTCTACTTACTAGTTTGGGTTTGAAGCAAACTGTATCAGATATGAGAAGAGTTAAGCCAGATTTATTTTTAATGCCAGTTTCCATTCACTTGACAGGTTGTTGGTGTCATTAACAGTGAGGCACTTTCGAACTTTGAGACAACAGATTTTGAGGTACAGTTTTTTAAACCAAGCAAGCCTCTCTGCATCTTTTCATTGGTAAGTAAAGTCTATTTACTTAAGATTTTATGAGAAATGAATGCTGACTAATTTCGTTCATTATTTTTCTCATTGGTTGAGCTGTTATTTTACTTCCTCTTCTATTAGTCCAACATTTTTCAAGTTTATTTTGTTAGACATGATGGATTCCTTCCTAGCTTTCCTTTGCCCATCCTCTTGTGAAATTTATTCTTTCCTGTGCACTTGTGATTGGGACTATATTTCTTTCCCTGTATATAGTATTCCTTCTACAGTACTAGATCATGGACTACATTAATTTGTACTTGTCTTGAAATATCCTTACTTCATCAGTTTTAAAAGATAGCTTTGCTGAATATAGCAATCTTGGTTGGCAGTTATTTAACTTCAGGGCTTGAGATATATTATATCATCCTTTCAGAACCTTCAAGGTGGTGATAAGAGTTGAAGTTATTCTGATGTTTCTGCCTCTGTGTGTCAGACAACATTTTTCTCTTACAACTTTTAATATTGCTTCTTTGGTTGGTACACATTGTCTCTTGACTATAATATGTCATAGAGACAGTCTTCTCTGGTCATGCCTATATGGGTTCATTCCCTTATAACCTCCCTCACCCTGCTCTTTACTATATCCCAGCCTCTAACACCAGCAAGGCATTCCTTGATAATATAAATACATCAGTCTAGCAGATCAGTAAAACAAGCAACACACAACTATGACACTCTCTCTATCCAGAGAGAAAACAGAAACCAAGGAACAAAAGACCCACCCAACAAAGGTAAACCCAGAATTCAGCACCTAGATGCCATATTAAGAAAACAATCAGTTAATAACCAGGACAACATGTTTCCACTAGAACCCAGCTATCCTATTACAGCAGGTGCTAAATATTCCAATATAGCTGAAACATAAGAATATGACTTTAACTATGAAAATGATAGAGGTCCTTAAAGAGGAAATGAATAAATCCCTTAAAGAAAGTGAAGAAAATATAAACAGTTGAAGGAAATGAATAAAATTGTTCAAGACCTGAAAATGGAAATAGAAACAATAAAGAAGACACAAACAGTGAATTATGGAAATAAAAAACTTAGGAATTTGTACAGAAATATAGAGGCAAGCTTCACCAACAGAATACAAGAGATGGAAGAGAGAGTCTCATCATTGAAGATACAATAGCAGAAATGGATACATCAGTGTTTCATTTTTTGGTGTTTGTTTGACATGACACCTGTTCTTTTCTGATGGGAGTTGGATGGAGAGTGGATCTGGGAAAGAGGGGAAATAGTAGGGGAGCTGAGAGGAGAAAAGGGAGGGGGGACTCTGGTTCAGATGTATTATATGAGGTAAGAATCTATTTTCAATTTTTAAAAAAATTCAAAAAAGAAAGGAAGGGAGCACTTGAGGTTAACAATAAGGAAATGTAAAAACAGTTGGGCAACCTATTTCTTGGTCCCCAAAATCTCACGAGAGAGTGAATCATTTGAACTTGTGGACTCCTGTTTTTCCTGTAGTTTATGCTGTTGCTGCATGTGTATTGGACATGTGTCTGACACATGCCAGAGTTGACTTCATCGTGGTAGCTTTCCTTCTTTGAGCTCCAAAGACCTCTCCTGGTCACACTTAGTTTTATCATTTCTCAGCTGGAGAGCTTGTCTCACCCTTGCTGTGACTCCCTTGATTATCCCCTGGGATGGCTAGTGTTTAGGTGGTGGGTGTCTCCAAAATATTTTGAACATGGGGAAAGTGATCATTGCACAGAGGTTGGTATAGGCAAAAGACCTGTTTGTGTACTTTCAAGGCCTCCTAGATATTAATCATCCTGTTCGAAGGATAAAGCTGTGGGCCCCAAGCAGACCTCTGGAATGTCATATACCTCAAAAGTTCAATCCATACACTGACCTCAGTCCTAAGTCAATCAAACTCCCAAATTATTCTAGTTTGTTCAAATCCAGTCTCAGCAACAAAGGGCTATTTGTAAAATATTGTACATATAGTTGATCTATAATAATTTAAGGGTAGGAATAATAATTCATAATGGTAATAGTGATGACATTGCTTGACAGAAATTCTCCTTTAGTTTTAGGGTAAACTATGAAACATCATTGGTAGAAGAAAAAATTCTTATATGTTTGGTTGTGAGCCTAGGCTTTAAAAACTGAGCCATATCTCCAGTCCTTCACAGTAGCCACAAACAATATAAAATAGCTTGGGGTAGCTCTAACCAAGCAAGTGAAAGACCTGTATGACAAGAACTTCAAGTCTTTGAAGAAAGAAATTTGAGAAGATATCAGAAGATGGAAAGCTCTCCCATGCTCATAGACCAGTAGGATTAACATAGTAAAAATGGTCATCTTAACTAACGCAATCTACAGATTCAATACAATCCCCATCAAAATTCCAACACAGACCTTGTAAGAACAATACTCAACTTCATATGGAAAAACAAAAAGCCCAGGATAACTAAAACAATCCTGTACAGTAAAAGAGCGGCCAGAGGTATCACCATCTCTGATCTCAAGATCAGAGCTATAGTAATAAAAACTACTCATCTTGAGTGAGGTAACCCTAACACAGAAAGACAAACATGGTATGTACTCACTCATAAGTGGCTAGTAATTGTAAAGTAAAGGATAATCATACTATAAATCCACAGACCCAGAGTGTAGCCAGAAGTTTTCCTGTGTCCCACAGCCACTCAGTCCCAAATAAACACACAGAAGCTTATGTTAATTACAAGCTGTTTGGTCTATGGCTCAGGCTTACTGCTAATTGGCTCTTTTATCTTGATTAACCATATCTATTAATCTATGTATTGCCACGTGTCTTGTGGCTTTACCTGTGTTCCATTACATCTAGCCATTCTGACAGTTTTAAGATGGAATCTCAGAGTCGTTTTGATTTGCATTTTCCTGGTAGATAAGGATGATGAGCGTTTCTTTAAGTGTTTCTTGGCCATTTGAGATTTTTCTGTTGAGAATTCTCTGTTTAGGTCAGTAGCCCATTTTTAAATTGGATTATTTAGGGTTCTTTAATGTCTAATTTCTTGAGTTCTTTATATATTTTAGAGATCAGCCCTCTGTCAGGTGTGGGGTTAGTGAAGACATTTTTCCCATTCTATAGGCTTCCATTTTGTCCTATTGACAGTGTCCTTTGCCTTACAGACGCTTTCCAGTTTTGTGAGGTCCCATTTATTAATCATCCATCTTAGTTGCCTGGGCTACTGGTCTTCTATCCAGGCGGCTGTCTCCTGTGTCAATGTATTCAAGGCTATTCCCCACACTCTATCAAGTTTGTATCAATAAAGCAAAATCCATACCAATATATTTTGAGATTAATGATTGTTTTTGGATTAAAGTAGATTCAATAATCTACTTTTTTCTTATCATTTCAACACCATATCCCACATTTTTTATAAAGAGATTGACTATAACCATTTATAATCAACCCCCTTTAAATGAAAACAAACATTCATAAACAATATTTTGGAAATTTGGGTGTAGTTTTCTATAATACTTCCTGCTGATTGAGGGGGATGCTAATCTTATGGGGAAATTTAGAGTTATGTTTAAGTCCTGACTGATGTATTTTGTGTTGTTGGTTTATCTCGGCCAGTAATATTGAAGCTGTTGTGAATGTTGGTTGTAGTTCCTTTTTTATGTTATTACCCTCTCTTTCTCCTGGACAATACTTGATAATCATTCTTATTGTATATAATTTTGTACTAGGTTTAAAATATTCTTATTTAGACAAAAAGGAGATGTGTTGTGGGAATTTACTCTGCCAATGACCTTGGGGTAAGGGGCTTAATAGAGGCATGGTTTTCTCTGGGTATTTAACTGCTTAAAACTGAGGAAAGAGTGTGTGCTTCCTCTCTCTTGTGGTGGTCAGAGATCAGACTGCTGGTTCTATTTACCCCTGGGCAGAATGGAGGACCACAGTGGCTGTTTACTTGGTCTGTATCTATGAGTGTTATTTTCTCCCCATTTTATATCTTCATAAATCCTTGATACCCTTTACACTTTAACAGTCTCTTGTTGATTTGCATACAACAGAGAACTAGGTAACAAAGAGGGCCCAAGGGGGTATGCATAGATCTCCCAGGGAAAAGGAAATATAAATCTCCTGGGGACAAGTGGAAATGGGAACACAGGGGATCAGGTTGGGAGGGTTGGGCAGTAAGGAAGAATACTAAGACAGATGACTAGAAAGGGAGGCTTTATGGAGTCAGGTAGAAGCCTGATGCAAGGGAAACCTCTAGGATTTTACAAAGATGGCCTTAGCTAACACTGCTGACAGTAGTTTTAGCCTAAAGTGGCCATCCCTTCTGATCACACCGATGACTAACCCTGTGGTCAACCTTCATCCAGTAACTGATGGAGGGAGGTTCAGATACCCACAGCCAAACATTGGGTTGTGTAGCTGTAAGTTTCTCTAATTCTACCTGGCTCAGAGTTCCCATGTTTCTCCATTCCCTCCTGGCCCCATAGTCCCTCAGCTGTTTATAAAATTATCACTCAGAGTCTTAATATTAATTGCAAATTAAATGGTCTATAGCTCAGGCTTCTTGCTAGCTAGCTCTTATAATTTAACCCATTTCTATTCATCTATATGTTGCCATATGACCATGGCATTACTGGTCCTTTGATTTCTTGTTGCTCCTTTGGCTGGTGTCTCCTTTTACGCTCTTTTCTCCTTTCTCTATCTTTCTTGGATTTTCCTACCTGGCTCCATCCTGCCCTGCCATAAGCCAATGCAGCTTTATTTATTATCCAATGGGAGTAACACATATTTACAACATACAGAAAGACATCCCACAGAAGTGTTGAGTTTGGGGAGTCCTGCTGAGGAGAGGGAGGAGGGATTGCAGGAGCCTGGTATGAGGTGGGATGGGGATGGTGTCAGGGACATTGGAAGAAAACCCACAGAAATGACTAGCCTGACTCATAGAAACTGACACGATCTGAACCAATCAATAACCAGGGAGCCTGCATGGGACTGACCTAGAACCTCTGCATACATAT